AAGAAAGAAAGAAAGAAAGAAAGAAAGAAAGAAAGAAAGAAAGAAAGAAAGAAAGTAAGAAAGAAAGAAAGAAAGAAAGAAAAATATGGAAAGAAAGAAAGATGGAAAGGAAAAAAGAAAGAAAATAGGCGAAACGACGAGGAAAAGCATCCACCAGACACGATCATCCTGGGCCCAGTGTTCCGCTCAGCGCCTGCTCCCCGCCCTTCAATCAGCGTCCTTTGGGAAGACTCCACCCTTGACCTGTGGTCAGTCACTGTCTGGCTTACTTGTGCTTGTCCAAGCGGTCAGTTTATGGCCGCACGGCTCCACTGGACACGACTTCTTCCCCCCACCAGCGAGCGAGGTGTTGATAGTGGTGGGTGGTTAGTGGTGGGTGGTTAGTGGTGGGTGGTGGGCAGTGGGTGGGTGTGTGTTGGCTGGATGCACATACATACAGAGTGATGACGCTTTAAATTTACCTCTTTTCGCTGAGGTCCTTGGCTACTGTTGGCTACTGTTGGCTACTGTTGGCTACTGTTGGCTACTGTTGGCTACTGTTGGCTACTGTTGCTACTTTTTATTGCTGTCTTTGGCGTACGATGGCTGATGCTAGTTGCTGTTCTTGGCTGTTCTTGGCTGTTCTTGGCTTCCGTTATTGGTTGCTGTTTTTGGTTGCTGTTTTATGGCGCTCATGGCTGTTCGTAATTGTTGTTAGTTGCTGTTTGTTTCCGTCATTGACTTACTTATATGCCGAAGTTCATCGTCCAAATTCGAAAAGGAGAGAGGCGAATCTACGAGCATGTGAAAATACAATGTAATAATCTCTCTCCGAAAGACTGTCTCTCAGCACCTTGCCGACAAGACCATTTAAAGCTCTTCTCCTTTTTCGAGACAATGCTTTTCAAATTGAGGAAAATGTGGAGGTTTTTTTTTTTTTTTGTTTTTTTTTAGAGGGGGGAGGGGTGTCCATAAAAGATAGCATATTGACGAAAAAAACCCCAGCTCTAACTTGTTGATATTTCAAAATACTGCAACAGTATTAAACAAGAAACGTGTAATGAGCCATTGTGAATGCCCAGTTGGTTCAAAAGTTCTTTTCAATTGAAATACATGTGTACATGCTGAAGCCATTTATTTCTTTTCCATCACGTAGAATAGAATAGTTTGATTAATATCATGATATCGTACGGCATGGGATGAAATCCATCTCATCATCCCAGTAGCCTTATTTATAAGGTCACACTTGTGCCTTATCGTCCATGTCCGATCAGACCGAAAAAGGAAACGGCGAGGACCGAACTGTTCATCACCAAGAAATGGCACCAGAGACAAACTCCAACCTACTTGAGCCAGGTCATTGCTCTAAGGTCAACGGTCTCTCTCTGCTGTTTTAGCGCCCCTCCACTGGGCAGGGGAGACCAGCAGTGAGAAGAGCATCTTTATTTACGCTCCGCCCTCGTGTTCAGTTGACGACTAATGGTACGTTACAAAAAGAAGAAAATTTAAAAAATCAACCGCCCTGGACATTAGCATCCTCCGCAACATTAGCTTCACCGCGTACACGATCCCTTTTCCCCCTCCCCACCCTCCCCACCCCCGGCCACCCTCAATCCCTTTCCAGTCAGTCAGCCAACGTGACCCGCGGGGAGAAGATAAACGGCGCACGCATCTCCGATGACCTAATTTGAACAGTGACCAGGAATAACGTCCAGCTTCCGGTCAATTTGGTCAAGTCGTATCGAGAAAGCTCCGCGAAGCGAGAGGCTCATCCCCCTCCCTGTTGGGAATGTTTCCGCGGAGCCCGGAGGGGCGTCTGGCGTGGAGACCTCCAGCCGTTCTACTTAGTTTGTCGCCTTCTTCTTGCTGGGGATCTGCGCCGGTAGTTGCTCGATCTGCTCCGATGGGTGGGCCGGAAAGCCTGAAATGGAGATGATGATGTTTAAAGGTGGGGTGATGCTTCTTTTTCTTATTTGATGTGTGG